GAAGTCAGACGCTCAACCGACTGAGCCACCCAGGCGCCCCTAAAGGATGCATTTTCTTAAAGCCAAATTTTGCAAATAATTTAGTTTCAGTGTTTAAGGGAATTCATGTTTGGGGAAATGGAATACTATTTGGTGGAATGAGGATTGTTTTAAAAGAAATTTTTACCCTGATTGTCATTTTTATCAAACTATTGCCAATAAAGGTGTTCTAAATCTAAAATCCAGTTGAGAAAAATCACAGTATATGTAAATATAGAGAAGGAAGACTTACACAAGATTAAAGGTCTTCTCTTGCAACTCCTTGAAAGGTGCGGACGTTTAAACAATATACAGTTCTGAATAATTACAGACAGATACAATCTTATATAGAAAAATAATTTTACTTTTTTTTTTCACATTTGTTTATTATTGAGAGAGAGAGAGACACAGAGCGTGAGCAGGGAAGGGGCAGAGAGAGGGGGAGACACAAATCCGAAGCAGGCTCCAGACTCTGAGCTGTCAGCAGACAGCCTGATGCGGGGCTCGAACTCATAAACCACGAGATCATGACCTGAGCCGAAGTCAGACACTCAACCGACTGAGCCACCCAGGCGCCCCTATATAGAAAAACAGAACTCCAGCTTTGGGTTTGGAGTCTTAGTATCTTTGACAGGTTCTGACTGGCTCATTTAGTTAACAAGTTCACTTAGATATATGAACGCCCTACAGTAATGACCACTTAGTCTATACAACATCAGGAATAAATATAGTTTAAGTGTTGCAAGAGAATCTGGCTACAAGTTACATAGTGAGAAACAATACAGGTGTATATTTATTTTACTATTAAGCTAAAAGGCTGTCTCCTAACTGAAAGAGAGGGAGACAGTACAGACCACTTCTACCTGAGACACAGTCTGTAGCTTACCATCTGGTCCCTGCCTGCCTCTCCGCCATCCCCGGCCACGCCAGTCACTCGTGGGTCGTGTCCTGGTAAGCCGTGTGCTATTCTCTCTCCCTGGATGCCCTCCTGTTTTCTCTGCCTCGTTATCTTCGATTCTTCACAAAAATCCCCTCCTGGAAGGCTCTCTCGGAAGCCTTAACCTGTCACATCCGTGCACACTTGTACCTATTACTGATTCGCAGCCGGAGGGAGAATCACTTCCCACTCTGGCCTGGGAATTCCCCAGGGTGGGGACTGTGATGCCGGCTCTGTAGATCCCTGACGTCTGGCTTATTGTCTGCCACCAGGTAGGTGCTAAATCAAGGCTCTTTTGGATGAACACTTGCATTTATTTGCTTCTTAGGAATTTGTAATGAAAATCAGTGAACCTGTTCGGAGGAAAATCACAGTGTATGTAAATACAGAGAGGGAAGGCTTTATAAAAGATGAAAGGTCTTCTGCAACTCCCTAAAAGGTGGGGCGGTTTAAACAATATACACTTCTGAACAATTACAGAAATAATTCCATCAGCAGCTTTTCCCGCCGTGGGGGCACGGGGTGCAAAGGTGATTGGGAGTGCCCCTTTGCGCACTGGAGGGCCGCGTGGCTGCGCTGGTGGCCTGGCTGTGGTCTGAAGACTGAAGCAAGCGGTTGCAGAATCGCTCAGAGTTAGCAGGTGACTCTGCTGTTTCCGGGCAGTCCAGGCGATTACTGGGGGGATAGTAGGTAATACGCTGCTGTGAAAAGTGATACGTCCGTGTCATTGGTAAGGTTTTGTGAGGAAAACATAATAAAGATATCAGAGCTTTGGTGATAATTATACTTAAATGGCAGATCAGTTCTCTTTAAGATGCACTGATTATTTTCCTGTGCTCTTAGCTAGACGTATTAGCGGTCCTTTCCCTCTAAATCTTGAGTTCCTCCAACTATGAGTTATCTCACTTTTTCCAAGGGTTGGATAATTCTGTTTTGAGTATTCTTACCAGAATTTTGTATTATAGCCAAGTAGTTTTTGTAAGCTATGTCCTAAAATAGGCCTGAAAGAGGGAAAGGTAACTTTGTAGACCGATTTAACATTCTATTTAATAATGTATTTTCAAGAAAATTTTAATGCATTAAACAATAGAGAAACATACATTAAACGTCATGGAATACGCAAGTACTATTTTTTTTCTCCAGTCTCACCCCCAAATTTTCTGTTTTCCTAGTGGTAGCCATTACAACCATTCAGTCAACAAGTGTTTGTTGAAGACTATTAAAAGAATAAGGAATAGAGCTTGTAAGTAGAGCACTGACTGTTTATGTTAATGCCAGTAGTTCAGCGCTGGGAACCAACACCCTGTAATTTTCATGATCAAACCTCCTCCAATGTATAGAACTATGAAAGGGTATTTCTCTCCTTATCTGCCATTATGCTATTTACTCGACTGAACTTAATCTCAGCACGCATATCTCCGTTTCCATCCTAGCGGATTGAATTACTGGAGGATCTTCTCGGAAGATTCATTCATTTCTTTGTTCAACAAATAATTGTCTACTAATTCCCAGGCATTTGTGGGCATCTGTTCTTTGTGCTGCACTAAGGACATGGGGGAGAAGCCACCGGCCCTGTTCTCTAGGAGCTCGTAGTCTAACGGGAGGAATAAATAAGCGGAAACTTTGAACGAGGGGTCCTAGTGGAATTGGCGTTGAGTTGAGACTGACAAGAATGGGGCAGATTGTGCCAGGTAAGGGGCGAGGAAAGCCTGAAGAGCCCCGGTCACAGCAGTATGTGCAGAGCACAAGTGAGAATATGACACACGCGGGAACTGGAATTAACTGTGACACCGCTGAATATAGAGTGCAGGGAAGCAGGTGCTGAAAGGTGGAGATGAAGGGCCTTATTTGACATGCTGAGGAGTCTGGTGGCAGATTGGAAGGCAGTAGGGAGCAACTGAAAGACAAGCCCGAGTGTGATCAGATGGGATTAAGCACATCACAGTCCCCCTGACAGCCCTGTGGGGAGTGGGCCGGAGGGAGATGAGACAAGAGCAAAGTCAGGACCCCCGTGGTCCCAGACCTCCCTGTAGAGGCGACAACACTGTGGGACAGGGCACAGGAACTGGCTGCAGTGAATTAAGGGCCTTGTGGGGAGGGGGAAGGGGGAGAGACAGAGGGACGTGATGGTGGTAAGCACCACTTCTAAGAGGCTTATTTATAAAGACAACGCCAGCATTGTCTTCATAAATAAACACCCTACTGAACTCATTTTATAATTTGGTAATTTAAAGAATGAGCAATTTTACACCAGCAGAGCTATGAGTGTTTAAATCATTAGGTGAAATTAGAAAACGATGCCTATCAATTTCATAAAATTCCATAATGTTCTGAGATGTCTACAGTCTTTCCCCATAGTTCATGCTCGGACCTTGTTTTTGTTTCTGTCAACCACCCGTTCTAAGTTACGCACACCGGCCAGTCCTCAAGCTTGTGTTTCATCACTGCCCAGCACATCGCACTGGCAGCATTTGCCTTCTCTGTGCTGATGTACACGGACTATCCTGATGGAACAGCCCGTCTTTAGTATTCTCAGTATTAGCGGTTTTTCATTACAGTCCAGTTGACTATTGATGCAACCATTATTTATAAACGGAAAAACAAAACAAAAAGATGACCACCTCCCTATTGATGTTTAGGCTCAATGAATATATGTCTTCTGCCATTAAGGGTGCTAGGAGTCCAGATATGGAATAAGTGATGAAACTGTATCTACATTTATGTTTTTTAAAAATTTTTGTTTATATTAATAAGAAAAATTGGATACTAACACTGGTTATTTTAGGGTGCTACATATAAAGGCAAGTTTTCTAAGCTTTTCCACTTGTCCAACTTTTTATAAAGTGGTTACAACACTCTCATAATACAAAGTAATTAAAATTACAATATAATTTTATATCATTGCTACTGCTTGAGAGCAAGGATATAAAACAATTTGTGTGGAAACATTGCATTATTTGAAGTCAGTTGAGAATATTTTTCTCCAAAAATATAGGTGTTCATTCGGTCTCTGTCCCTCCCCAATCCATAACAGATTTAAGTTAAAATTTTTTCCAAAAACGACGATTTTGTCTGCTTTAAAGATTCTGAAATTCTTGGATACACTTTGCCTTTCAAACCATCTTAAGATTTTTAACAGGCTCTTGAGGCATTTTCTGAAATCATAAGAAGGTGCAGCCTCAAGCCGGATAATTGAATTCTTCCTACCCCTTTCTGCCAAATAGTGGATTACATGTTCTTTTATCCGGAAAAATTGCCAATTCCTCCTTCTCCCTCTTGTAGATGGTGAGCCACCTTCTCCTCGGGTTCCCTGCTCTCAGAACACAAACGCAGCACCTCTTTTAGGGCTTACCTCAGTTTTGTGAGAACGGAGGTACTATCCCCATTCGCAGATAACACAAGTTTTGTCCTCGTCAACATGCTGACCCTTTCTGTCGTCGTTTTCGAGTGATTTTAGGCAGGAGCTGGTGGAAGATGTAGGTACTGCATGCCTGGAGGGTGGGATCCTTATTTGACTCCTGCCTTTTTCCTTGCAGGCGGCAGGCAGGCCCAACAGCTAGTCTTTTACCAGTTTCTTATTGAGCTTCTTTTGAGTTATCTTCTCATTTTGAAGGTGTCCCTGCCTTCCTCATCTTGCAGGTATTTTGATTTAAGGAAGCCCCTTCAAAATTCCATTTCGATGTTGACTGTACCCCTTGTGGCCATAACAGGTGTGGAGATTTTGTGAGCAATCGGAAAAACTGTCCTTGGGATTTTCAGCTAATGCTTGTTGTTTTACATGTAGAGATAAACTTAAAAAGATGACGAGGGGGAGAATAAAGAACACGGGTTTTCTGTGTTAACCAAAGAAAGCGAACATTTTAACTGCAGATAGCAGAATCTGTTTTAAATGTTTATGGGAGGGTAGCAGACAATCTTATTTTTCTGCACTTGGCCAGCATAGTCTAGTGAATGGCAGACTGATTCTCAAGCCACGGGTAGGAGCATAGAGCCACCTGAACCACTTGTCCAGGCCATCACTTCCTGTTTCCCCTTCTTGTTTCAGTGCGTGGACCTGAGCTGTAATGAGCTAAGCGAAGTCACTTTACCAGAAAACCTGCCTCCAAAACTACAAGAACTAGACCTGACTGGAAACCCCCGACTTGCCCTTGATCACAAAACCCTGGAATTGCTGAAGTAAGTATTTCGTGATGCCCTGCAGCCCTGTCCACATTCACTGACAACGCGATTTGTAACTTAGTGAAAACATTAAACAGTATGAAGTGCCCGGTGGCTTCTTAGCTGTATCTACACACATTTGGAGCGATTTGTGAGTCCATAGTTCACCAGAATGGAGGGCCAAAAACAATTTCAAATAGTTGGATACTCACGTGTCCTTTCAGAAAGTCTTTGAGGAAGTATCCAGGCAAAAAGAGAATGAGAATAATGAATACAAAGTGGGGGGGGGGG